CAGGGCTGAGGGGCAGCCGGGCTCCTTCCCAGCCAGGGCTGGCTCCCTGAGCCTGTGGCGGCCCTACCCCGCCAGGCTGGCTCTCAGCCACGTGGTCCACCTCGGGGCTCTGGCCCAAAGCTTCTCACAAGTTCTTGGATGTCCTCTGCCACTCAGGTGACACATACCTTCACCTTTGCCTGTTTCTATTCTGTCTTGGCTGAGGTTGGACAGGTGCCCATAGAAGGTCATAGATGCGTTTGTTCTGGTAGAGGAAGCTGGAGTCCCCGGGTGTGAGGGTACTCGGGTGTGAGAGTAACCACAGCCCCAAGCTGCACTGAGGCATCCCCCACGCATTCATTTGCTTCCTCATTCTTCCTTCACTCACTGGTTCATCCGACAGCCTCTGGGCATTTACTCACTTGTCAGATGCTAAGCTCGAAATAGTGGGGCTTTGGTCCTTCCCAAGCCATCTCTGGGTGTCGTTACGCAAAACAGAACCTAGCCTGCCAGGCTGCTGGACAGACTCCTGTATTCCCAAAGCAAAGATCGTCTACAACAGAGGCAGGCCCGGCATTTGAGCTCCCTCTGCCTGTCCTGCCTCTGTTTCCACTCTCCAGTAGATTTGGAGACAACTCACCAGCTCTCCTAAGCTCCCCCCTTTGGCAACATGGCATGGTTGGGGCAGCCTCCTGGCCTCTCCGCCTCCCCGCCTCCCAGCACTGCAGCTCAGCGGTTGACTCTGAGTTTCCCCACCATGGCCTTCACTGCTGCTACCCGTGTCTGTGGGTCTGCGGAGCCTCCCTCTCTCATCTCTGGCCCTCCCTCAGGCCCTCTTCTCTGGGTGGCCCCTCCTCCCACCCGGGAAAGGCCTGTGAGCAGGGCCTGCAACAGCTGGGGCTCGGTCCCTACCCTGCCCTTTTTCCTGAGCACGAAAGGGGAGTGGAGGTTTGCAGCCTGTCCCTTATCAGAGCTCCAGGCACAGCAGACTCTGGGACCCCGCCTTCCCTGGGAGGAGCCAGGCGTGGGCTGCAGTCCACTGGGAGCCTGGGGGAAGGCCAGGGGAAGGCCCGGGGAACTGGGGGGCCTGGCTGGGAGCCATCGGAGTAGAAAACTATTGTCTAGTGAGGACCCCATGCCAGGCCACGAGGGAGGCCTACGCTTAGAGTTTAGGACCTCTGCCCACAGCCCCTTCCTTTCCAGGGTTCCCTCACTGAGATTTGTCCGGGGTGCCTTTGGCTGTTTTCTCTGCTCCCCATCATTACCACACAGCTGCAAGGCTTGAACTGAAAGCCCCAAAACTTAGTTTCTTCATCCTCAAAATGGTATCCCAGGTCGATACAACCGTGCAGGAGATGGGTGTGTGTGAAGCCATAGTACACACCCATGGTCTGTGCCCACAGCACTCACTGAGCACATGCTTCCAGTAGTACACACAGACACACTCAGTGCACACGCTTATGGCACACTCCTACTGCACACACAGTACACACTCAGGCACACACACAACACACATGGTTCCCTATAGGGAACAACTGCTTTTCCTTCATATTTCCCATGAATTAAGAATGATCAAGCCTCTCACACTGGGCTGAATGCTTTGAGAAAGACATCCTTCCACTCGCCCACAGGTGCTACAGCACGCTGGCCCGGTGCCCAACGCGAGGAGTAGGGCGCTGGGGTTCTGGGCGTGGGCCCCACAGGCAGAGCGGACAGGTGACGCTGTCGTCTGCTGGAGCTGGCATTCAGGTGTGCAAAAGAGGCAGCAAACAAGTACATTTCTGTCAAGAAGAAATAAAGAAGGTGGCTGAGAGGGAAAGGGATGGGGGAGGGGAGGTGGGTTGGGGGTCGAGGAAGAATTCCCGAGGAGGGGCATTGGAGTCCAGCACGGGGTACAAGTGGGCTGAGGGCAGCCGTCCCACTGCCACTCTGTGTCCAGGCGGAACTGGGCTGGACTTACCCCTGACCTTCACCATTGATCCAGATGCCCTGGAAACATGACCTCTGCTGGCATCACGGCAGGGGGTGCCACTTGTCCTTTGGCTGTCACGTCCTTGCTGGGTCCTGTGGGTTGGAAAGGTGTCATCGAGTACTCCCCTGGGGAGTGACATTCACCAAGAGAAGGAAGAACTTTTTCATTCTTCCATGAGCGAAGCAAGGGGGCAGGTCTGGCCTGTGCATGCTGGTTGGGGAGGGAAGGAGCAGGAGGTTTGTCCTTGTCACGGATGTCACAGACCCACTTCTTGCAGAGGGCTTCCTACAGGGCCGCTTGTGCCTGGAGCTTTGCCAGGTGACCCCGTCCTGGCCTCGTCCTCCTCGTTCACAACTCGGTGACCTCCTGGCACCAGTGACCTTCTTTGCACCCTGAGTCTGGGAACCCCCACATTCTCGCAGGGACCTCTGCACCTCCCTCATCTGCTGCCCACCCACCCCCGCTCACCCGCCTTTTGGGCAGGCCAAAGGAGCCAACAGCCCACCCTGTGTTTCACATCTAAGTGTTGTCACCCTTGCTTCTTCCTTTTAGGGCAATGCAGGGAGAGCCCTTAGGAGCCCTGTACTTTTCAGGGGGGTGAGACTTGGGTGGCAACTCAGAAACAGTGCCAGGAAGGGAGGGGAGGAGAAAGCTCAGGAGCTTTATCATCTAGACGACCAAACTGAATCTTATCAAAGGTGTAGACTCAGACGGGAGAAGACAGAGAAGGCAACTCCCCCTGTCCCACCCCTGCCTTTTCTTCCCTCTCTAGTATTTACTGAACGCTTACCATGCCCCAAATACTGTTCCTCGCAGCCACCTTGTGCAGTAGGTACTGCCTTCCATGCTATAGGCTAAGAAACAGACACCCAGAGAGGATGAGTCACTTATACAAGGTCACACAGCATGGTAGACTTGCAGGAAGGACCGGAACCCAGGACTTCAGGTTTTGGTTCCTTCTGCTTCCCTCACACCATCAGACCCAGACAACTCTCAAGCCAAGTGCAGAGTCAGGATTGCAATGCTTGTGCCCTGCAGACTCATGTGGGGTCTTGGCCTCTCAGCAGGAGGGGCAGCCTCATACCCTCCTCGGGCTAAGCGGGCAGGGTGCATGGGAAACACATCCTGCCAGTCATTCTGCAGACTCCGGCCGGCAGCCTGCCAGGCCCCGGGGCAGGCACCCGCTTGGATGGGTTCGCTCGTCACCGGTTTGTTGGGCAGCTGGTTTGTGCCCGGTGGCATTCTAGATGCTAGTCCCGACCTCAGGAAGCTTGCAGCCTGGGAAAGAGACAGTCAGACCATCAGCTAGAAAGCCCTACCGTATGTGCTACGGTGGGGGTCCCTGGGGAGCAGTAAGGGCCCAGTGACCTGGATCTGGCAGGGGCAATCAGGGCACTGCTGGAGGAACCTTGGGCAAGTTACCTAACTTCTCTCTGCATTTGCTCGTCTATAATATGACTTTTGTGAGGATTTGAATGGGAGATGCAAATCAAGTGCTTAGCATGACACCTGGCATAGAGCAGTAAGCATTCGATAAACTTCAGCTACCCATAGATTGCAGTTAGCCCTTCCAGCCCGAGTGTAAGCTCCCTGAGGGCGTGCACCGGGTCTGCCTGTCCACTGCTGTGTGTCCAGTGCCTAGACCAGAGGCTGCATACAGTAGGTACTCAGGAAATATTTGTTTAATGAGTGCGTGGGAAAAGGCCCAGAAGAATTTGGAAGAGTTGGGATTGTTCCAGTTGCCCTGCAGCTGTCCTTGCCTCCCTCCTCCCTCCTGGCCCCCCTGCACTCACCCACACCAGGAAGCACACCCGGCACCTGTCAGAGATTGCTGCCTGCCGCCCCACCACTCTGCCCTGCACAGCTGGGGACCTCCATTTGGCTTGTTCCTTTATCCTTTCTGTCACTTAGTAACTGTGCGTGAGAGTCTCCTGGGTTCCAGGAGTTCCAGATGCTAATGGAAAGTGGAAGACAAACTTCCTGCCCTCCATGAAGGGATGGTCAACACTGAACAGGCATTAGAAGGGGGGCTGTTTTATGACAAAGTCTCAGGTACTACTGGGAGTCTTTGCAGGATGGGGCTGGGGAGCCTAACCTGCCCCATGCAAGGCTTCCCGGGCGACCTGAAGGCCAAGGCCAGGCGCAGGATTTCCTTAGAATTCGTGTGCTATGGTGGTTTTTTTTTTCCTTTAGTTAATTCTTAAAAAATAACACATTGTAAAATTCCTAACAGTGCACAGTATTCTACAGCAAACGTAAGACCCACCCCATCCTTCCGGACCCCCAAGTCCTTGTTAGGAGGCCTCGTGTACCCCCGTAGTCACAGTCTGTTCTCATTCAGTATCCATATTTTTCTCTCACTGAAAAAAGATCCTATATTTTCAAATGGGGTTACACTACATCAGAGGCCCCCAACCTGGGATGATTTTGCTTCTCAACCCTGCCTAGGGGACATCTGACAGTTTCTGGAGACATTTTTGATTGTTGCCTCTGAGCAGAGAGGATGCTACTAGCATCTTCTAATGAGTAGAGGTCAAGGATGTTATTAAATATCCTACAATACACCAGAAAACTCCCACAACAGAGAATTATCTGGTCCAAAATACCAATAGTGCTGAGGTTAAGAAACTCTGTTCTATATGAACATATTGTGTCTGCAGCTTGCTATATGTACATAAAATTACAATACATAGAGAGATTATTCACATCAGCCTGTGTAGGTCTTCCTCCACCACTTTTTATTTGGGTATTTGCAGTCTTTTGCTATTGCAAACATTTGTACTATAGGGAGCGTTCTTTTCCATATACTTGCCCTTGAGTCACGTGTGAGGTCAAAGAATAAATTGATGGAGGTGGCATGGATGCATCAGAAGGTTCAGTAGCAGCTTAAGTGAACTGATTTCAAGTCTGTTTGGGGTAGAGTCCATGACAAGACTGCTTCTGGGGTCTGGCTGCCAAGCAGGACCAGGATCCTCAGAAGTCTGGTGGAAAAGCTCTTCTTCGCTCTTATCTGCAGACAAGGGTGTCCTGACAGCCCATCTCTCCACAGGATGAGGGTGTCCCCCACCTGAAGACGACCAGCCAGGTCCTGAGTGATGCCCCGGAGCTGAGTGCCCACGGCCCCACCCTTCCCCATGGAGAAAGGACTTGCTTTGCCCCAGGACTGCCGAGACTTTCTGCACAGTCTGAGGATGAGGAGCAAATATGCCCTTTTCCTGGCTTTTGTGGTGGTGGTTTTTGTCTTTATCGAAAAAGAAAATAAAATTATATCGAGGTGAGGGGTGCAATCACAAGTCTTCCTTATCGAGGGGGCGGGGCAGAGGAGGCCGTCGGCCACCCTGGGCCTGCAGATGCAACCCTGCAACCGGTGCCCGTCAGGCCCTCCTGCGCCCACTCCGCGGGGCGTGCACAAGTCCCCAGTGGTGAGGTTTGGGCTCTGGGCACAGGCCACCTGGGTTGGAATCCTGATTTTGGCCCTTTCTAGTGGTGACAGCTTAGACACGTTATGTCACTTTCTGTCTTAAGTTCTTCTCTGAAACATGGCTTAATGGGGAGACCTGCCTAATTGTAAAGATTAAATGAGAAAGTGTAAAAGCATTTAGCCCAGGGCCTAACACATAGTTGATGTCTAGTACTTGCAAGAAAGCATCAACCAAGACAGATAGGACTTGGGATGAGTCCATGCCCTGCCTGTGTCCTTAGCGTGGACTGTTCCAGTCCATGCCTGCAGGAGCCTACTGCAAGCCCCTGCCACTCTCACCTGAGCGCATCCCTCCACCTGTGCTGGTGAGGCACAGGTACTACTGGGGAATAAATGCCAAAGCCAGCAGGAAGCCTCACCCCTTGGGAGAGAGAATCCTGGGGTTGTTCCACGCTGTCTCTCGGGGGCCCGCCCCATCCTGGTCAGTGATTTGCCCACAGGAGCTGCCTGCTCATCCTTAATGGGCTTTTTCCCCTCACCTCACCTCCCTGCTTCTCTACCAGTTTCTCCTGTGACCATGTCCCGAACCGACTACCTCTTACCCTCAAATTCTTGCCCCAAGTCGGCTTCCAGGGAAACCCAACTAAGACAGGCTTTGGGTAATCATCCTGGGAGGCTACACAGGGGATGGAGTCCCCAGCCAGTTACTGATCCTGGTCTCCCTCTGTCCTCACAGGGTCTCGGACAAGCTGAAACAGATCCCCCAGTCCCTGGTAGATGCCAACAGCACTGACCCAGCCCTGGTCTTGTCCGAGAACGCATCCCTCCTGTCCCTGAGTGAGCTGGACTCGGCCTTCACGCAGCTGCAGAGCCGCCTGCGAAACTTCAGTCTGCAGCTGGGCTTGCAGCCCGCCCCGGAGACCGAGGGGCAGGTGGGGGAGGAGGAGGAACCTGCCAGCCCCGCGGAGCCGGGAGCCCGGCGCCACGTGCTCCTCATGGCCACCACCCGCACTGGCTCCTCTTTCGTGGGTGAGTTCTTCAACCAGCAGGGCAACATCTTCTACCTCTTCGAGCCCCTGTGGCACATCGAGCGCACGGTGTCCTTCGAGCCGGGAGGAGCCAGCGCAGCAGGCTCGGCTCTGGTCTACCGCGACGTGCTCCAGCAGCTCTTCCTGTGCGACCTGTACGTGCTGGAGCATTTCATCAGCCCCCTGCCCGAGGACCACCTGACCCAGTTCATGTTCCGCCGTGGCTCCAGCCGCTCACTCTGCGAGGACCCCGTGTGCACGCCCTTCGTCAAGAAGGTCTTCGAGAAGTACCACTGCAAGAACCGCCGCTGCGGCCCGCTCAACGTGACGCTGGCCGCCGAGGCCTGCCGCCGCAAGGAGCACATGGCGCTCAAGGCCGTCCGCATCCGGCAGCTGGAGTTCCTGCAGCCCCTGGCGGAGGACCCTCGGCTGGACCTACGTGTCATCCAGCTGGTGCGCGATCCCCGGGCCGTGCTGGCCTCCCGCATGGTGGCCTTCGCTGGCAAGTACGAGACCTGGAAGAAGTGGCTGGCCGAGGGACAGGACCGGCTGAGAGAGGAGGAGGTGCAGCGGCTGAGGGGCAACTGTGAGAGCATCCGCCTGTCGGCAGAGCTGGGCCTGAGGCAGCCCGCCTGGCTGCGGGGCCGCTACATGCTGGTGCGCTACGAGGACGTGGCCCGCAAGCCCCTGGAGAAGGCCCGGGAGATGTACCGCTTTGCAGGCATCCCGCTGACCCCGCAGGTGGAGGACTGGATCCAGAAGAACACCCAGGCCTCCCGGGACAGCAGCGGCATCTACTCCACGCAGAAGAACTCCTCGGAGCAGTTTGAGAAGTGGCGCTTCAGCATGCCCTTCAAGCTGGCGCAGGTGGTGCAGGCGGCCTGTGGTCCCGCCATGCGCCTCTTTGGCTACAGATTGGCGCAGGACGCCGCCTCCCTCACCAACCGCTCCGTCAGCCTGCTGGAGGAGCGAGGCACCTTCTGGGTCACGTAGGGGCCTGGGGCCGCACGCAACCCTCCTCATGGAAGTGCCACCCCGCCTTCCTCACACCCAGGCCAGCTGTGAGCTGGTGACAGTCGCAGAGGAAGGCGGGCAGCCGCGCAGGGAGCAGGCCGCCCCTCTGCTGTAGAAGTAGCCCCCAGGCAGCTAGCTCCCCCACCGCCTCCGTGGGCTGGGGTTTTTTGCTGAGAACAGGACTGTGCCCTGCCCCCTTGAGGGCCATCAAACCAAGACCCAAAGGGCAGGCTCAAGCAGGCCCAGCCTATTGACGGTATCTCTCTCTCTCACACACGTGCACACACACATGCAAACACACATGAAGCACACATGAAGCATAAATGCCTGTAGACCTCATGGGCCACAGTGCAAATATCCAACAGTGAGAAGGGGCTGTGGGCACTCAGCACAGTCTCCGGGTTTCTACACAACGCGCCCTGGATTCTGGGCGGGTCCCTTTGTAAAGGGCTACCAGACGCACGCACGTGCATAGAGACAAGCACTACGTGCACACCACGCCCGTGGGGAACATCATAAAAACACAATCCCACATACACGCATATGTGGAAACACAAGCTTTCCCACCGCTTTAGGCCCACAGGTTTATAGGGTTTGTCTGTATCACACACCTAAAGTGGAGCTTTTAATGGTTTGGGAGCAGGGGAAAGAAATGCGGTCCTGGGCTGCCGCCCCGCTCTCTCACTGGGTCGGGGTGAACAGTGGACACAGAGCTGCCAGGTCCCCGCCCTCTGCCCGCTTGGAGTCTCAGGGCTGCCTCCGCTGGCCCGTTCACGTCCTCCCTGCTGGCAGGCCGGATATTTTGAAATGGTGCTGTTGACTCTCACGTGACTACAGTCCAAAGTCCCCATCCCAGCTTGGCTGGTGTCCTAGTGCGTGTCCATATTTGAAGGCCACCTCAGGCCTGACTGGCAGAAGCAGCTGTGGTCCCTGGAAGCAAAAGGCACCTCACGGGTCCTGCGGCTTCCCACCAGGCCTCTGTGGGGCAGGGTCCGATGGCAGTCCAGAGTGCTCTTGGGGGAGAGGTCACATCGGGATAGCCCCTCCCCTGAGAAGACAGGGACAGAGGTCAGCCCCCTGGTTGGTAGCCATAGTTACATGGTTAGTGTCTGGAATTCCTCCTTTAGGGCTCTGGGAAGAGTATTGCTTAACTTGGGATGGGCTGGGTATTTGTTTTCTGTTTTTTTTGGGGGGGGGGATTAGGGTATTTATGGCTTGGTGTTTTGTTTTGTGGCTGTGTTTTCATTTTTGTTTCTGCCGAAGTGCCTCCTGGAAGCAAACTGTGCTCGAGGGGCTGAGGGGGCTGAAGGGGCTCTGGGAGGGCCAGGAAAGTACTCTGGCTCTTGCCGGAGGCAGAGGAGGAGGAGGAAGAGCCTCCTCCCAGAAGGATCAGAGCCTAGATAGCCACATGACAGCCCACCCAGGCTTTTCTGTCTCAACGCCATGTGAGACAAGTCTCAGAAACCACCAGCATTCTTTGCCACATGTCCAGGAGCAGCACAAATGAGCAGCCCTCACCCCTGCCCCGAGAAGAGGCCAGATTTAAATCTCTCTCCCAGGCTCCATCACACTTGTGGCCCCAGGCCACATCCCAGGGGTCAGGGCCCATGACCAAGCAGCAATGTCCCCAAAGTGGAAGGTTTTTCCCACTCCCAGCCCAAGCCGAGGAGCAAAGCTCAGCCCCATCTCAGAACTTGCAGGAAGCTGTCACAGTTCACTGAGGGCTGTTTCTGATTTCCTGGACGACCTCTCCTTCAGAGCTGTCCCACTGTTAAACCCAGGGGGCTGCGTTTCGGCTTCAGGAATGTGCACGAGAGGGAAGGAAGGGGCGTATCCGGCTGGAAACTGCCTTTTGAAAAGGTGAGGATGGTAGCCATCTACGATGTCCATTATAATCACTGTATTTGAGCTGCTGGGTCTGCATCACCATGGACTTCAGCCATTCAAGGAGGTCTCCACTCTAGGTTTTCCAGCCCAAGAATAAGTTGTGCAGGGAGCTGGCTCTAATTTGGGGGCCAAAGGGACTCCAGCCCTAAAAACTTGACCTTGGGACAGAGAGGGGCCAGGATTTTTCTGGCAGGCCCAGAAGTTCTTCCCCAGCCCCCGCCCTGCTCCCTGTGCTGCCCCCTCCCCCGGGGTTGGTGGGGACGTGCTCCCCTGTCCAGGGTTCTTCCTGGGTCCTCCCAGTGCGGACAGCAGACTTCCTCCTTTCTTTCCATGTCTGGGGCCAAGGCCTCCACCCTGAGCTCTGGAGACCTTCGGGACTTCTCAGGACATTGACAGTGTGTACACTGCCAGTTGACTTTATTTATTTATTTTGTGAAAAAGAAGAGACAGAAATACATTATTATTTGCAGGGACTTAGAGCTGTACCCAAATCAAGAAAGACAAACTAATAATAATAGAAACCATGCACCCACCCCACACAAGGACACTCCGGGACAATTCAGAATACAAGAGGGGACTAAACCAAGACTGCTCGAGTCACGGTGTCCCAGGCTTTTGTTTGAAGAGAGTCCTTGGTTTGCTGTTGTTGATTTGAAGATGCAACAAAAAGGCCCTTTCTGCCGTAGGACCTTCACCCAGGCACCTGGAACAGGACCCAACCTGAGTGAGCATTGCCTCGGGGCCCTGGGAAGCCTGGGGGTTTGGGGAAGGACAGGGTGGGGGGACTGCTGCCTGTCCACCCACCGGGGCCTGCTAGGAGCCCTGCCATAGGGCTTTTGGCATGGAACTTCGCTGGGGAATGTGGTCCAGTGGGGGCTAGCACCTCCTTTTCCAGCATTCTCTGCTCCTGTGGATCCACCAGGAGCCTTCTGCTCCAAGGCACCCACCTGCCCGGAGACAGAGGGAGCAGTTGAGACCTCGCCTCACAGCTACCAGCTTCCCCAAAACAAGAGGCCCATTCAGCAATGCATGCTTACTCATTTTTTTTTTCTTCTTGAAGAAGATCCCTTTAGCCTAGCCTGTATAAATAGCTCAGAACATTCCAGACCGTGGTGAGACAGGGCAGTGTCTGACACCCTCTAGCCATCGCCACCACTGCCCATTTCTGGCTTCTCTTCTGTGCCTTGTTTGTGCACCTTGGCGTGGATGAGGGCACGGTGGGGGCAGGGGGGGGGTCAGAGGGGCAGCTCTGTCTCGTGCCCCCACAGGCTGTCACTGATTTATTGCTAAGGTTGAGAGGCATGAGGAATTCTAGGCTTTGTCCCTTTATGTGATGCACACACTTGAAAACAAATAACTAAATGAACAGAAAAAATGTTCAAAATGAAGTTTACTCCCTACCTGCCAGCACTGGCAGCCAGAGGCCGGTCTAATGGGGCAGCTGCTGACCAAACCCCCAAGAAGAGAAAACACCCACTCCAGCCATGACAGTGGCATCTCTCCCTGCCGCCTCTGCCATCCGTCCGACAATGGGACAAGTTCCAGCAGGAGGTCAGGGGTCCCTGACCCAGAAGGCGATGCTTGGCCCAGGCAGGGGTGTGTCAGATGCAGGTCTCTTCCAGCCCTGGGGGACCCTCCTACTCTAGGGTCTGTTTTCGTTAGCTGTGGGGCCTGTCCCTCCATAGCCCAGCATTGTGAAGGACAAGAGCAGAAGACCTGGCGGCTACGTCCCCGGCAGACCCCTCCCCCTCCAGTCCCATAGGGCTGAGCGCAGTGGCAGGTCTCGGGAGGGCGGGTCCTGAGTCAGGAAGAGCTATGGGGAGAGGGGGGTGGGGGAGCGGATGCCTGCAGAGGCCAAATGGGTCTTGTCAGTCCGTACAAACTGAAAGGAGCATCCGCTGAAATCCAGGGGCCTCGGCTTCCTGAGTTCACTTGTGAAGAGTCCCAGGACGTGGTCTGGCTGGACTGGAGGGAGGAGGCCCAGGGTTTCCTGAATGCAGCCATGCCGCCTCTCCACTGCCACGGTGTCAGGAATAGTTGGAGCTACGCTTTACCTCAAAAGGAAAAGCAGAACTGGCAACTTCGGATGTCTTAAGAGCTTCAAGATCCTTGGTCTCATGTCCTTTGTCATTCCATGACTGTGCCCGGGGACCAATCACTTATGTATTTCCAAGGATACAGTCATGGCACCATCCATCTGAGCCTAGCTCATATTGGAATCAGACATGCTGTTTGGAAAATGAGATGCCCCATGTCCCTGCTTCCTCTAACACTGGGCCTGACCTGGGCACCCCTGACGTCCCCGTCTCATCTGTGTGCTCTGGGCCAAGTCTGCGAGGCTCCCCTGCTCCCTCCTGGACCCTGCAAGCTGTCTTTTTGCCAAGACCTCACCCCATGTCATGTTTCATGGCCACATGGTACAGGACACTCCTTGCATGGCCATGTGTGGCCATGATGTGTACATATGTGTCCGCATGTGTGTATGTGTAGTATGCAGTTCATTCTGCTTGGCCTCGTTGCTCCCAGGCCCATGCCATCGATGTCCCGGATGTCCTTACCCTGGCTCCAATCTGCCGTCTCCTGGGAACGCGGGAGCTGTCTTTCAGAGAGCGGGCAGCCACCACCGGTCAGGGTCTGCTTTGTGGAACAGAATGTGAACCCATCACTTGATGGCTTACTTGATTATTTAATTAAAAATGAAACATGCAATGAGCAAAATGTAAAGTGTGTCTGCCTTCCTTTTGCACTTATTCTCAACAGCAATCAGAAAAATTAGCAGGAGAGAATCAGCAGCTGGAGGAATGGGGTGGCTTCTGTAGCATGAAGCAGAGCAGAGGAAACCCTGGCTCCTCCCGAGGAGCGAAAGGCACAAGAGAAGTGTGGCTGAGCGGGAGGGGGGCCCGCAGCGAGTGTGCTGCAGGTCACCAGGACAGTGGAGCCGGGAGCTGGTAGTGGCTGCTTGCGGCTGGCTACAGGAATGAGGTCTGAGGGATAAATACCCAGGCATCATGGGGCAGGACCAGGAGCACTGGCTAGAGGTCAGGGCACTTGGGGACAAGTCCCAACTTTGCCACCATCTGGACCTGTGACATTGGACAAGTAACTTCCCATACCTGAGCCCCAATTTTCTTTACAATGAGGAGCATACTATATGGTTTACAGCCTTTGTTCCAAAAAGCCCTTTAGAGATTGAAAAGTCAGCCCTGTCACCCAGAATAGCTGCACTGATTGGCGTCACGTGTTGAAACGGTGCCCGAGATTTCACTTGGCCTTCGACAGAATCTCCAAAGGCCCATGAGGAGGCTTCTAAGGATGTTTTCCACTAAAAATTGTAATGGAACCCTTTCAAATTGCAACTACATTGCTCTGTCAGTCATAACAATTTTAGTGTGAATTAGATTTCCACCCTTTTGTCTCCTCACAGCCACCTAGAGGGAAACGGGCATTTCCCCGGGGAGAAGGCTCATTTTGGGACATGGGAGGGCAGAGCTGGTGGGCCTTTGTGGGTTTAGGGGGCATGGGGAAGCAGGAACCGTGGAGAGACAGAAAAGAGCTGAGCCCTGGGGACAGTAGTGGCACCTGGAGTGACAGGCTAAGACCTGATATAAGGGACTGGGACTCCTTCCCCAAAACGCAAACCTGTGCCTGTGTAGGTTCACCCAGACCAGGCCTCGGGAGCGCAAACCGGTTCCCTCCCAACCCTAGGACAGAGGCCTCCACACAGTGACCCCCCAACCTGAGTGTGACGGTCACCGCACCGCCCCAGCCAGGTGCCGCTGTTGTCTCCACTCTTCCGGGCACCAGGTATATTTAGTTCCATCTCTGGAGCGTGTTTCCTACTGGAGAAATAAATTGCCCTACCGGTACAGCAGAGATACTGCAGCACCTTCCCACCCACTCACCCCTCGGCCCCCAGCCGAGACCAGAAGCCGTCGTCCCCCTCACTCCCAGACCTCTTTGGGCTTCGGATGCGTCCCCCACTACACCGCTGGGAAGGAGCTGAATACCCCACAGGGTCTCCTGCAGTGATGGTCAGCTGGACCCAGACGGAAGCAGTTTGACGTGCATTTGGCCCAGGAGCCCTGCCAGGCACACCCAGCGCGGGAGTCTGCAGCAGAGCCCCAAGTGTGTTTGGAGGAACCGTGGTCGCCCGGCTGCTCTTAGGGGGCCACAGTGTGCCCCAGTCAAGGCTCTGAGACGTCTGGCTTTCCTTTGACCCAGCTTGCCAGGATTTACTCAGAACCATTTTTATGGGTGGGTTCTTTTATCATAAAGACGTTTTTTTTTTTGACCAAACAACATTTTTCAAGACTCTGGCATTCTATAAAACAGTCCAGCAGTCAGAAACCTGCAAGTATAAGCATATAGCACTAAAAGCCAGGGTAAGCAGACAAGAAGAGGCAGGAGAGGAAAAGTCCAGGGTCAAGTTTCAGGGCCCCACCCCACCTTCCCGCCCATCTCACTGAGCTGCAGGCCGGGAGCAAGAGCTGGCCTGTGGAGACGGTGGTGGGTCAGAGTCTGAGGCCCCAAGGCATCGGTGCCGCCGTCATAAAACCTGCTGGAGGCCTGAAGTCCTTGGTCCTGGGCTTTCTCAACTAGCCCGCACCTGCAGGTGACAGTGCCCTCCAGAGTGAAGACCCCGGGGAGCCCAGGCCAGACGTAAACACCACAGGACACTATTGATCTGAGAAACTGGAGCTTGGGGCACCTAACGGAGCTATTTCTGAAATGGCTGGACAGAGGTCACCGACAGTGAACAGGTCCTCGGGAGATATAATCCTCTAGTAGCCAGGAGACCCCTTGCTAAATGCTACTGTGCGCTTTATTGGAAGAACAAGCAACTAGAAAGGGCTCAGCAGAAAAGCCTTGCCCAAGAAATCCAGAGTGAGAGGAGGAAGGAAGGAAGGCAGTGAGGAAGGGAGGCAGGGAAAGTGACAAGGAGGGGACACGCCCAAAAGATGGAGGGGGAACAATGGCCACTTGGCTGAAATTGCCCGACAGCCCCAGCCACGCTGTCCAGTAACTCAGGGGACACGCCGGGCAAGGCCGGGTGCAGGGCACACGCGGCCCTGCCACCCTGGACCGGATCCACCCTGTGGCTGTGTGGCCCATGCAGTGTCTGGTTCTGTTTTTAACAATTGGCATTAGAGGCCAACACTTAAAAATTAAGGGGTTTTATATAAAAACCAGATTTCTGCTTCCTCTTGAAAATCGGGTGTCTTGGTTTGAGTTACACCAGAAGCTGAAGCTAAGACAGGGTTTGAGAGCAAATGGTTTACTTGAGAGCTTCAGACCACCCGCCGGGGGAGGAGGGAGGAAGACAGCCAGAAGCCAGCTGCCACCCGGGCAAGTGGAACAGAATCCCTCCGTAAAAGCCCGAGGCCCTGGCCTTCGAATTACTGAGGGCTGAGGCAACGGAGCCTGAAGTGGGTCTACACCATTCTTGTCAGTCTTTGGCTGAAGGTGGCTCTGGGGGAATATTAATTCCTCAGCACCATCCCACTGGAGGAACCCCATTCCAGAATTCTGGAACAAGTGTAGGCCCCAAAATAAACACACAGGCGGTTGGGCATTTCCAGAGCACAGTGCAAGTTTCCAGAGTAAAGTGTGAGGGACTGGTAGGGATCCGACCATCCCTGGAAACCAGAGGTGGCAGGTCACAGGGGACTGTCATGCCCACAGGTACGGGGGCAGCACTGGCAGAAGGGCAGCCTCTGCACTCCCTCTGGTCTCTCCAGTCGGGAGGCGGCACTCTCAGCGCTAGGACTGACAGCTACCTCCACGGGACTCTTCTCTGTGAACCCACATCTGCCCGAAGTGAGAAAACATCAGGCCAAGAGGGCGCTGCTGCGTCTCCATTCATCACAATATCGCCCCAGGTTCTACGAGGGGGAACCCCCCCAGAATGGAATTTATTTATTTAAAGATGTGTATTCATTCTTACATGTTTAAACTTCAGTCACCTTCCAAGTACTCCCCACTTGATGCACTGCACCTGTCAGGACGTTTTTCCACTGCTCCAAGCCGTTTTTGAACTTGACAATTTTGATGCCTTTTAGTGATTCCGCCGTTATTGTTTGTCTCACCTCCTCCACATCAGCAGAATGGTTTTCTCTCAGGACACTTTTCTTCCAGGGAAACAAGAAAAAAGTTGGTGGAGGTGAGATCAGGTGAATGGAGAGTGTGGGGCATGGGGATCGTGCTGTTTTTGGTCAAAAACTGCTGAACACTCAGCATGGTGTGGGCAGATGTGCTCGTAACTCAGCCATCATGAAATGGGCAAATACGTTGCAAGAGTCTTCAAAAAAAATTCACTAAAGCTGGGCAATGCCTCTCACAACAACACCAGCTGGTACACCGACACAGATGGGTTCCTAGAACACTCACCTAGCGGGGGAAGCCTGTACTACAAGGAGCCCATCCTTCAGAAGATAATTCTGGTTTTGGGGGGTCTGTCCTTGTATAAGCGGTTGAGTTTTCAAGCCCCCACCCCTCACCCCGACTCCCCCGCCCCCAACTTAAAGTTCTGGTGGCATGCCGGGGCCTTGGTTGGCTTTCCCAGCCCAGGCTCCTTAACACTTAGACCAGGAATAACGTTAGTCTGGAAACCTAGGTGGCCTGGTCAGAACCCCATGGAACTCAACCACCCCATCCCTATCTCTCGCTGCACCCGTGTGGATCTCTCCTGCCCACCCCTCCCCCAGAGCAACATCGGGGGAGAGGAGAGGTGGTCTTGTCCACCAGGAGGGTGGGCAGCAGATCTGCATTCAGTCCATGCCAGAGCTGCCCTCCTTGGAGTTGCCAACTTCTTTCTGCTCTGCTGCACATGGTGGGGGGTGCTCACATGGGGGTGCTCACGTGTGGGGCACCACAGGCCCCTTGGGCAGGTGCTTGATCAGTGTGGCAACCCCCAGTGCTGAGTCCAGATGCTACCCTGTTCTCACCCACCCGGGAAAGCTCAAGAGAGTGACCGAGGAGACGTCGTGAGCAAAGGCCTGGGGGATGAAGGGACCTTGGAGAGTCTGGGGACCGAGAAGAGATTGGCTCCGGCTGAGATGGTGATGAGACAAGGGTCTGGAGAGGAGAGCTGGGGCTTGAATGTGCAGGAGCCTCTACGCCCCACAAAGAGAGACTGGACTGGATCCTAAGAGCCCCGGAGAACCACAGGAAGGCGGAGTGAAGCAGCATAGCCTGGTCTGGTCAATCGTGTCCCATTTTTCAGCTGAGCGCAGAGAGCTGGCATGACCAGCAGTGTTGGGATGTGGAGCCACATCCTTCATCCTTACAGACCCTTCTGTCCTATTTTATGCCTCAAGACTCCAACTTTGATGTGTTGGGACCCCACGGGCCGTGTAAATGTCATGGAGGTGCAAGCCCAGAACCAATGGCTTCCCTTTGGGTTCATATACGACCCCCGCCTCCCCCAAGTGCCAGCTTTTCGAAGTCAGCCCAGGCTCGAATAGCAGCGTGTCCTAGTTGTGTGACCTTGGACCAGTGAATTGCCCTCTCTGAGCCTTAGGTTGTGCTTGTGTAAATAGGGGACAATATGAAATGGAGGACAGGCATGTGCACAGCGTGCTGCTTCCTGAGCCCTGGTGAGACCTGAATAAACAGTGGCTGCTCTGGCTTGTGGGCAGTCGGAGGCCTTCGCCCCATGTCTGCCTTCCCGGGAGCCTCTCAGTTCTCAGTCAGTCAACAAGTGTTTTG